TGGGGGGGTGGGGGGGTGGGGGTGGGGTTGTTTACTCAATCAAGTTAACCCTCCACGAGCAGCAGGAGCTTTTTGGGAAAGGGTGGAAGATAGCATCAACGCCTACAATTTTCGGGTAGGCAAACTCAAATGTATTGTTATGCCCTTCATGCCAGATTATCACCATGATGAGACTGAGGTTCCATTTAAGTTGGTGCCAGTTCACTAATCCAGTAAGGCGAGGAGCATGACATTTCAAACTGCATAATTACTAGATCGATTTTGACATAATAAATGTGAATCTAAAGGTAAATTTGTTCCGTTTATGCTAAAGCCTCCACAAAACAATGTCTTTTGGAAGCATGGTTAGATATAGATTCTAATTACTCTCAGCAAGAAAAATGTCGTATACAATAAATCAGATACCTTCCAGTGTATTAGCAAGAGCAAGTCACAAAAATACAAGCTGCAGAAATCTATTGGACCCATGTGATTGACGAAGATATTGGTTGATAATGTGCCTTCTTCCTCTGTAATGAATCAATGTAACCCAAACCCAAGAAGCATGAACCTGCAGCATCCAATGGATTTTACATGGATTTGTAAGATGATCTTTCAGCGGAGTGGAACCAAGTATAAGCTATCATCTAAGATCATGAAATGTAGGATGTATGGTTTATATATAAGAAAGAAAAAAATCAAACTAAAACTAATCAGCATAATTTATCCATCATCCAAGAAGTTGCCTAAGCAGATAACAGATTATGAGATTAAGCTCAACAGTTATTTTTTTTTTTTTGCAGTTCAATGCAACGGAAGATATTAATCGAGATATAAAATTACCTGAAAGACCCAATATAGTTGAGAGAAACCCTAGTTCCAACTTGTTGCACATGTTCCGTACTGGGAAAAGAGTAACAACTAAAAATCTACCAGACGATTCTTATCTTTCTGCCAAAGAAACTACTGAATCTGATTGGTTGTATATTTCTGAGTCCATGTTTTCACTCTCTAACTGGCTATGCAACATTTGCATGACATTCTCTGATGGGCATTTATCATCAGGATTCTGTGTTTCTACTTGACAGAAACATTCAGGCCAAGCATTCGTATAAAATGATTCAGGTGAGATCCGTTCGTGAGGGCCACCAAAGTTTGTTTTGAGCATGACACGTCTAACTGCTTCTTCAAAACTAGCTGTCTGTCCCTCTTCTCGAGCAGTAAAAACTGGGGCAAGACCTTTTCTGTCAGGTCTTATATTTGTTCGAAAGCCATAATACAGGCGGTGACCCAAGAGATTGTTGGCAAAGTTGCTTGGCCCATCATAAGTTGGCATAAATATGTCGGCAAGAAGACAAACCATGTAATCCACAGCAGAGCCTATCAATCCCCGAGCATTTGCGGCTAGCTCCTCACTAGAATCCACAGAACTGTGATTTTCAAGGTGAGGGAAAAGGGCCCTAAATGGTTTCATAAAGTGCTCTCCACCAAACAGTTCACCAGCTGCTAGGTACATCCTGGTGGAATTGTTGAACCCCATTGCACGTAGAAGAAGACCAACCTGCACACAGTCAGAGGCATTATAATATTATTAATTATTCATATGTGGTAGCTGGCAGAGTTGATAGCAAACAAACAGACAAATGCATGCAGATTCGAACAAAAAATCACCTCTTCTGGAGTAAGTGGACATTTTCCAATCGCCCTTCTTTCTTTATAAATTAGTGTTTTCTTGGCAAAATTTTCCATCCGATACTTCTTCAATATTTTTTGCTCTGTAGAGCTAAATATATCAAAGCACCTGCAATTCATTCATTTCCACAGCAATCAGAATTCAGAATGGCTTCATTATGTTTTTTATATCTGGAATGTCTTCCAATTAATTTTGCAAATCAATACCATATTAAGCAGCTGAATATGTGTAAAGAAAGATCTTTAAGATAGATCTTTAAGATATATGAATGTAAAGATTTGATGTAGATAGTAGGAGTACTGCACTGAATCTAAATTAGTAGAAGGGTTCACCAACGGTATGAAACTCAATGAATAACATAGGGGTAAAATGTAGATGATGTGGTTGATCAAGACCATGATGGGGTTGTAAGAATAGTTCATAAGGAGAGATTAGAATCTCCACATAAATCTATGGGCCTAAGCAAATCTCTCAGTGCAAGAACACCAGAAAGAACACTTCTATGGAAAATAATCACAAATTGAAAGGAAAACTACAGAAGGTCCCTTTATATTAGCAGTTACAAAATTCCAAGAAAATGGTCAGGTAGCTGCACACAATTTTTTGGTCTGTGCATCTAAGTTCAGTTATCTGATATGCAGCAAAAATTCATTGTCACTGTGTGCTCCTCAATTCACTAAAGTACAACACAAGTGTGTCTAGATGTACTTGTGTTAGTAGGAGAAAATAATAATAATGCCCCAATAAATCTCCCTTATAATAAGAGAAAATGCTCTATAAATTACAGGACAAGCCAATGCATATAGGTCAAACCCCTCTAAAAATACATGTTTGCACTGATTTAAGTAAAAAAATACAGTAAAATAAATAGCTGAGCATTTACCCGGCAAATGCCAGCATGTCCATCTCAAAACGAAGGTGTATTGCCATGAAGCGACCTTGCGAACGTAGTTTATCAACTATTGACTCGCTTAACTTCATAATGTGTGGTTTAAATCTTAGAGCATGATAGTTGACTCTGCACCTCAACCGCTGGTACTCGGGGTTGTCAATTTCTTCAGCTAAACGATGTGAAAATGGAGTTAGATAGATGGCTCCATGTTCCTTCATTTTCTCCAGAGCTTCAGTTGTATACCAACTAATAGGAGCATCTCTTGGGGGCCGCAGCTGAGGCAAGGGAGAAAATTTATGGACAATTTTTTTTGATATTTTGAGGACCTTCCAATAACTTAAAAAATTCCTAGGCACATAACTTCACAGATGAAACGGAATGACATTCTAATGCAATTACCTGAAAAGCCTTTATCTTTTTAGTTTTCCCATTTTTATGAATTTCTGGTATTCTTTCCACAATTCGTACATCAAATCTCAGTGACTGGATAAAATGTTCAGCATCATAGATGCCATGGAATCCACTGTACATGGTAAAGATATTTTGTCAGATCCATTAGAATTACAAAAATTATACAATCAACAAAATAATATGTCTCAAACAGATGATAAAATGAATCAACAGAAAAATTGCTTTTTAAATCCTATCAAGGTATAAGAATGATTGATCTCCCTCTCCCTCTCTCTCTCTCTGCCAGCCTGTCTTCCCTTGATAAGTAACAAACATACTACAAAGAAATGACAACCCTAGTACAGAGGAGTATACAAATTACAAAGGAGATGCCGAATTAAGGGGAAAAAAAGCTATCAAAATTAAGTGATGTGTGGAAAAATTACAGTAACTGTTTGGCATAGTTGCTTTCTGAATTACTGCTATCTACCAGGTCAGGTCCCTTCAAGATTCTTCCTTTAATGATCGCATTAATAGATTCAACTTAAAAAGTTTCAAAATTACTAGATATAAGGAACAAATGGGTATATATTACAAATAAATTCAAGAAAGAATGCCCTTAAAACAGATACCTGTCATCATGCCAGAAGGAGTTTGCGTCCAACTCAGGCAAAACAAGTGTAGCGTTCATGATTCTTGCAGCAAGAACAGCATTACAAATCTACAACAGCGAAGGAAGTATATATTAGTTTTTTTCAAATAAATCCCTTAAAAGAGGCATCACATCATAATCCTAACTTGGTTGCTTTTAACATGTCAATTTTTCAAAACCTGTCATTCTGATAAAAAACAAAAACACTCCTTTTTTGTAAGGATAATTTTTTTTTCCTTCCACCACTTCCTGACACACTGAAAAACCATAGAAGTGGATTTTGTCAAGCTTGCCCGAAACATACATTTAAAAAAAAAACAGCCTGGAAGATACGCACAAAAATATATAGCGCTACAGGTTAAGAGACTTGGGCAAGAACAGATTACAAACCGCGGTTCTTTGCTGATTCAAACCACCATTACAGCGAACACGAAGATACCCCTTGGTCTCTTTTGGAGGAGCTGCCGCAATATAACAAGAAAAACATATCGTCAGCCCAAACTTACATTACTATCAGAAGATTATTAAAAACAAAAATGAAGAGCACGTACATGGCCAATCAGTTCGTGGAGAAGATGATGGCCTCCAACCACCCGAATTCGCACTTTCCCATAGTTTTTCTACATTTATCTTAGTAACGTATCCCAAAAATAAAACTCAGATACCATAAAAAATAATTTAAAAGAACTAAATCGAAGCAACAAAACGAGAATCTCAAAAAATAAAAGAAAAGAAAAGAAAATAATCAATATGCTATATTCACCTAATATTTACAGTTTCAAACACTAACATTTTGCCTAAATCAATACTGAAAATATATTCGTCAAATAAAATTTCTCAATGGACGCAAAGAAAAAAGAAAAAAAGCAGCATTCTATCAATTCAACAATCAAATCGCAATGAAAAATAAAAATAAAAATTCCTAAATTGCATAAAACTAATATAAACCAATTTTCTTAGCAATAAAATAAAATAAAAATATTTGAGAAATGGGAACTAAGTGTAGCGAACCTCAGATGGAGCGTTGGATCCGTTAGTTGCAGTAGTAGTAGCGGAAAAGAGTAAAGAAAGAGTGCAGATCAAGAGAACAACAGAAACTGCTATCAATAGTTTCAATAATAACCCTCTTCCTCCTACTCCTCCTTGCTTTCCGTGTTGCCTGTGGTGTCCTAATCTTCTTCCAAATTCAGAAAATCAAATCAAACAATAGTTTTTAGAAATCGAAGAAGATCAATCGAGTAATGTATTTTATGTGTATTTACCTTCTCATTTGATTGGATTTAAAGGAGAAATGGAGATCAGATACTTTGATTTTTTGTGGTTTTTTTTTTTAATTATAAGAGAAGTGAATTCATTGATTGAGCAGAGACAGAGCTCCTCTCTTTTACCGCTAATAGTTTGGCAACCGCTGTTGTATAGCGGAGACTAAGACTGTATGTGCTACGACGTCGTGTTTGGTTAGATTTTATTTTAAATTTAAATCCTTATATTACCTGTACTTTCAGACTATATTTATTTGTTTTATGTGTATTATTATTATTATTAATAATATTATTGTTGTTGTCGAAAACACTAACATGTATGAGTTGTTTTACAGTAAACAAATATTGTTCACGCGCTCACAAAATAACATGTACTTACTATTTATTTTTTAATAATTTATTTTGGTTTTTTAAATTTTATTTAGGATGTTTTGATTTTAATTAAAGGAGAATTACTTTTAATTTCTTATAGAATTAGACAAAAAAAGAATAAAATAAAAAACACAGACATGGATTTCGTGCTAGGAATTTCAAGAAAAGTACACTTTAATTTTTAATATTTAAAAATAACATAATTTAAATCATTTTAAATACAAAAAAAATTTTGTATTCTTTCTAGTTTCTATTTAGAGAAAAGAAAGAGAAATTACTTACTAGATTCCTATAATAAAAAAATCATTATTAAAGGGGTTATTAGTTCCATGTAATGAGATAAATTTGATGATTGTATTTCGCAATCTTATTATTGTTTGAAAAACAAATTTAAATCAAGAAAGATAAATATTATTTGATTTGATTTTAAGTTCTTGAAACTATTTTTATGTTGATTAATTGGTTTATAGATATTCTAATAATGTTGGTGAGTTTTTATTGGGTTGAAAAAGCTAAAATTAAATTTTTGATGTAAAAACATGCTTGTTTTCCTATCACCACTATGATAATGGGATTATGGGCTTATAGAGTACAAGTCACCTATATATTTTTTTAAATGACAAATGATAAATCATTTATATATATATATATAAAAAAAAAAATTAAATTTATATTTCAATTAATATCACTCACTTGTGATTTTTTTGTTGTTGCTTATTTAATCTTTTTTTATATAGTTTTCTTTTTATATTATTTTATGTGTGTTTATTTTTTAAGAGATTTTTCTAATTCATTTATAATTTTTTTAGTCTTTTATATAGATGGATTGTATTTTTTAAAATAAAAATTATTTATTTTTTAGATAATATTTCTAATATGATCAGCTTTATATAAATGTTTTTTTTATTACATTCAATCAATTTAATATATGTGTTTATTTATATTATCATTTGATTGAATTAAAAAATTATTTTAATAAATAAATTTAGCAAATAAAATTGGGTAAATATCTCATTTTGTGAGATTAAATATCTTGATATACTCTTGTCTCTTGATTTTTATAATTTTATTTTTTATATACATATAGTTTTCTATTTATTTGATTACATGTATACATAAAAAAAATTTATTTGCACTTATAATTTTTTTTAACTATAAAAACACATTAGAAAAGCTTGCATATACAATTATTTTCAAAAAGAAAAATATTTGATTTACGATGAAATGTAGGTTAAATAGCTAGTAGAAAACATTAAAAGATATATGGGTTTTTTTATAGTAGATGGAACTGTTCATACACTGTGAAGTATGAACTTATTATTCATTTTCTAATAATTCATGTTATTCCTCAAAGTTTTTTTTTTGAGCTATTTAATTCAAATTAAAGACCAATTACTTTTAATTTCCTAAGCAATGATGAAATTGAAAGATGAAAAATAAAAATAATAATAGAAAAAAACAAGGGTGGTGTGCCAGAGATTTTGTAACAAATAATCTTAGGTCGCCCAAGTCCCAGGAGAGCATGAAGGCCCACATATAGTATTAGGTTTTCCATTACCATGGACTAGGCTTACCAAGCCTTAGGCCTGTAAGTTTGAGTTATTTTTTTTTCTTATTTGTTTTTTTATGTGTCTAGGTTAAATATAAATTTTAAAAAAAATTATTAAATTCAGTTAAGTCCATGACCTGAATAATAGGTTTGATGAGTTAAGCCATAATACACATGCTTCTTCTTCTTTTTTTTTTTTCTAATATTATTTCTTTAATTCATATATTTTCTCAATATTTTTTTATAAAATAATTTTTAAATCTATGTTTCAATTATTATCCCTCCTCTGTGATTTTTTTTTATTTAACCTTTTTTGAATAAATACTTTTTTGATAGTGTTATATGTATTTAGATTTCTAAAAAATTATTATGATCCATCTATATATTTTTTATTCTTTAGTCTAGTTGAATCCATGACACGAAGAACAGGTCTAACGAGTTAAGCCATAACACCTAGGTTTCTTCTTTTCTTTTCTTTTTTGATATTATTTTTTTAATTCATATCTTTTTAATATCCTTTTTTATAAAATAATTTTTAAATTTATGTTTCAATTATTATCCCTTCTCTATGATTTTTTTTCTTATTTAACCTTTATTGGATAAAGACTTTTTCAATGGTGTTATGTGTATTTAGATTTTTAAAGGATTATTATAATTAATCTATACTTTTATTCTTTTGTACAAATAAACTTCATTTTTGAAATTTTTTTTTTCAAATAATATTTCTAATATGTGAAGCCTTATGTAATACTTTTTTCTTTTCTTTTATTAAATTAATTTAATGTGTGTGTATATTTCTATTATCATTTGATTGAATAAAAAATTATTCTTAATAAAAAAATTCAATAAGAACAATTGAATAAATATTCTATTTTTTGATATTAAATATTTTGATCTATATCTGTCTCTTGATATTTTCAGTTTTATTTTTACTTATCGTTAATGACTTTTTTTCTATTTATTAACACATATAATTCTTAATTTATTTGATTTCATATATGCCAGTTTTTCAATCTACACCAATAATCTTTCATGTATAAAAACAAGTCGAGAAAGCCTATATATACAATTTTTTTATTTGAGAAAGAAATATTTGACCTGCAGCAGAGCATAAGTCAAATAACTAGTGTTTTTACTAGTTTACATGCTTGCGTTGTGCTGGGGTTAGATCAAATATTTTTTTAAATGTGACAAAAAATATACAGGTTATGGATAATCATTTGGTAATATTGTTATTAAACACGATTTAATGGGTCAACCATAAAACCTTTTAATTCAACTCATTTTCTAGAATGAGTTTAAAATTAAATCTCGTAAGAGATGATTAATTGTGATCAAATTGACTTGACTGATGCAAGACAACTTAGCCAACTGGTAAAAAAATTCTAAGGATAAATTGAGAAAAAAAACCTCTTGACTACACTACTTGTCCAACCCGGATTTAAAATTAAAATGTGTGAGAATTATGCTGACATAATTTAATCAACTTGGTTGATCTAAAAGTAACTTAAATTATTGTTAAAAGTAACTTAAATTATTGTTAAAAGAATATTTAATTATTGTTAAAAGTAACTTAAATTATTGTTAAAAGAATATTTGAGGATGAAATTATGAAAAAAAAAGGAACAAAATTGAAAGAAATAAAAGGAGAGAAAATGAAAAAAATAATAGAGGGTGAATTGAATGGAAAAAAAGAACTTCGCTATTTCATATGTACAATAAAATTCCATTAAGATTTTTAGTATAATAAAGCAACTTTTATGTTATCTCATTGAACAAATTAGATTAAAAATATTTTAAAAATATAGAAAGTATTAAAATAACAAAAAAAACTTTATTATTTTTTACACGATCAAAAAGTTGATATCTTATTCCAAGTGTTGGAGTATTGAAATAACAAATAACCTAGTACGACCGGGGTCAATCCATATGGAGGTCGATTATATAAATTAGAAATAATATATATAATTTAATAAAGAGTTAAAGAAATATTTGAGATGCGAGATTAATATGATGATTAAATAATGATAAAAAATGGTTGTCAATGTTAGAGGATCACTAATGATATTAGAAATAAGTATAGTATAAACTTTTTTTATTACTCAATTGGAAACCACACACAAAAGAGGTT